TGATTTTCTCGGGGATTTTCGTACTTGCCCACTCACAGAAACATTTCGATGTAACACCTAACGAACATTGCGTATAATACGTATTTTCGGTATTCCTCAAACATCATTACAACCTCGGATGCTCTTAATTCATCGAGGGATAACTGGAGCTTGTATTAATGCGTAATGGAAATCGATTGGGAATTCACTTCGGGCTGAAATAAACGCAAATTTGGCGTAGTGGGATGTCGGTTTAACGCATCTGAAGCTGAAATTCGAGTTCCGGTAGTCATTTTAAATTCTCTCCCTCTTCATGAATGATTTTTTGATTTATTGATAGGTTATTTAAGGACCATTCCTTAAATTCAGGTGTTAATGAAGCCTGAAATAAATTATGATGCAATGAGCGATAGGCAGACAAGGGATTTGAAAGGATGTGGTCGTGGCATATTTGAAGGCAGGCCGTGCTGTCCCGGAATTTTTATGGAGGGACTGACAAAGGCCCCAATAAAACTCACTCACTGCGCCATTCGGGATTCGACTCGGAGATATTTGAAGCATTAACAGTAAAACACGTTGTTCTATGAATTAAGACAAATTCGACGGGGGAATGGTCAGATTTTTGCTCTACTCGTACATAGCAGGAAACAGCTGTTCTGGTCTTTAAAGGCGGTGACAATTTATCGAGAGAAAAATAAATATCTTAACGGAACACAGAGAAAGTGTATGAAATAGCCACGAGGTGCGTCCGCTTCTCATAACCCAGAGCCCAGAATCAGAATATTCACTAGTTCGGGAACTTCAAAGTCGTATCGAATTTCTTTCCCTTTGTTCAATAAATGATCCGTATTGGAAGGAAGAGACAGTTGTAACGGTTTTGGCCATCCCAAAGGCAAAGTTCATCCATCGCACAAAAAACACTTCTAGTTTCAAAGTTCTTTTCGGTGATAATTTCTGCTCAGCCCGCTGTATGATGCATTTACCTTGACACTATTAATTACCACAGAACAACTGTTCTTAATTTGTTAACGAAAGCGTCTCTCGCCCCCCCCACCCCCGGAAGAACCCCGGTTTTTTAATCCCGCGAATTTTAGTTCGGATAGAAACTAACATCAGACCATAAATTTTCCTTTCCTGATACAATTGTTTAGAATTATTTATATCGTGTTCCTCTAAATCAGCGGCGAAGCTGGGAGTCATATTTCTTTAGACAAATTGTTAGGTTCACATATTCAGCGACAAGAATTATCAGAATTAATGCAATAGAAAATATTAATATAATTTTTTATGACTTAATTTGCGATAATGTGTAGAATGTGAGAATATCAGTGAGAAGCCTTCCACCGTTTTTGGCACCAATTTATCAACGTCTGTTCTTATGTCAGAGGTTTCTAATCCTTTACTGTCGAGTCAGGAACTCGTCACAAACACGTGTTGTCCGGAAAGGCGTGTCATTTGTTCTGCAAGGTAACTAAGCGTGGTTACTGTCACTACAGAGCGCAGGTGTAAAGAAGGTTTCAGTGTTCCATCTAACTCCCTGGTAGCAGAACCAGCAGGTCCAACACCGACGACACAAAAGCCCGCCATCGGACTCGATCCTGAGCCAACTCCTTCCATTTACTATCCTTACAGCCGACCTCCCTAAGATCTATCTTAATATTATCCTCCTCAAATAAATAAACCCGGTTATGATGAAATAAAAGTGAAATTTTGAAAGGTTTTTCATCTTTAATCAGAAATGTTTGAACTAGATAACATTTTCATGACTTCCAAGGAATAGCTTATTTTAATTTGTAATAATTTTGAATTGTTTAAATCTTAACATTAGAAGGAGAGCAAATTAGACAAAAAAGCTGTGAAATCCTCATATTCTGCAGTAAGTACTCGGTCATTAAAATAAGAACGCAAAGTAAAATACTCTTTGGAATAGGAGAAACATAACAAAAACAATTTTTCTGTTCTAGCAAACGTGCAAGCTGTCCTCCTTTCCCTTGCGTGTGGCATTTTCGGGAAAGTTTTCAATTCCTAGTTGCAATTTTATATTCTCAAGGAGTGCGGTAATAGCTTCTCGGCATGGATCGTGCGAGGTTTGTTTGTTTAAATCGAATTTCGACGCTCGTTACCCCTAGTGCAAGATACACAGAGCCTCTGCTAAGCGACCGAGCGAGAGTCGTTTAGAGGCCAATGTACTCCACCCTGAACAGCAATTTAATCTAATACACACATTAGGAACAAAAGCAGGAGACGTTTCCAGAAGCCACCCGCGTCACATCCATATTAGACGCAATGCGTTTTCTCCTTTGTAGTTCTCGTCCTTTCTCGTTTGTCCTTCGAGGCATGCAAAGTGCGTGGACAGGAGAATAATTCCGCTCGCCAAGTCCTTCCTTATTTGTTCACAGGGGGGTTCGCGCGAAGAGTAATGAACTTTCCAGTTCCATAGGAGAGGGACGATTTATTGACAAGCTTAGCGACCACCAGCTTTTCACGACGGAGTGAATTACGTAATTTCTGTCCAACTCTTGTCCGACGCCTTCGATAGACTTCGTGCTTGTCGCAGAAGTAATCAAACGTCTTCAGCGCTTCTGTTTATCGTCCTAAAACTTTTTTTGTCTGAGTGGAAACAAAGTTGTATTGTATTGATGGATTTTTCATAGGAAAATAAAAAAAAATAACCAACATTTTGTAAATGAGATGCGAATTGTTTCATACGGACGGGCATTCTGCCAGTCGTCTTTGACAAGTACGACTAGAAGTTTTTGTTGTTAAGAAATTAATTCTGCCGTTCAGTGGCGGATCTTAAAGCGCGCGTGTACCAGCAGTGACATCTGCACCGATGCCGATGGTCCGACCTCTCTGTCCGTGGCTGTACCTTTCTTTGATTTGGAGAGGGAGCTTCTTTGAAAACATCGATTCTCTCTGCGAGGATAAGGCAGGTTAAGTGTTAGCCGTATGACTCAGTTACGACTCAGGGTCTAGTGCCGCTGGGTGCAGTGTAAATTTCACATTCGACAGGTTATCGCAGTGGTATTTCGTTGTCCATGAAGTCAGACTGAGATTTCTTGGACTAGTGATTGGGTGTTTATGGCCGCTGGACTTGGAACTATTCAATTTATACTCTAATTACCCTTAACTGTTACTGAAACAACAGAGCGAAGTTTTCGAGACACGTCCGCTGCCCGGAGCCAGACGAATCCAACCCACAACTTCCCATCTTATTCTTTAATATTCACTTTAACATTACGCTCCCACCTACGCCTAGGCCTCCCAAATCGTCTTTTCTCGTAGCTCACAAGTTCGAAAGGCGGCACAATGAACAACTTATTGAATTATTTTTAAATTTAAATTCCAGTGGCATTGTGTACATGCCAGGTTTCACCGTAATCCGTCAATTTGTCTTAATTTACGAGGGTAAGATTACACCGTATGATAGGACCATAGGATAGTTCCTTATTTTAAAATAAGGAAGGCGTCTATGAATCGTTAGTCGACCTGCCAAGGACACGGGAGCAGGAGAGAAGCCATTCAGAATTCTGGGTGAAGTTGCCATTGGAATGCGTCATCAAATTTTGTTACACAAAATGTCTCACATACAGAATCTTAGTGCTCGTATAACCGAGTGATTTCAGGCAGCTGTCGCCCATCCTGCAATAAATTTTCGTGATTTCCCTCATCCTTTGAATATAAATACTCTGCCGATGTAGTGACTGGCTTCAAGTAGCTCGATCCCGCCTCCTGTCGGATTCATACCTACTACCCGGTCACTTTCCCGCCTCATTCTTCGTCTTCCAGCTGTAAAAGTTTAAACAGCTCGATCACACCAGTGAAGAAAATAAACCTTCCGCCGTCGTAGGGAACGAGGGTCTCCTGCGAACACAACCCCCCACCCCCACCCCAGGGCGGCCGAACATTTTATGGCGAGGACGACGACTGTTTCTACTTCTTTCTGTCGGCTTAATGTATTTTGAGCGTGGGTGTGTCGTCCTGCTGTAATTCTCACTAGAAGCCTTCCTCCTCCTCCTCTCGTCCTTTGTCTTGCGAGTTGTCGCTTTGTAGCCAGTCTTGTCTCTTCCAAACGTACTGACCGCATCAATCTTCGGATTCACGGTTCTCTGTCACTGACTCCGTCCTGAACCCTAGACTTTCCGAGCGGAAACGGCGTTCTTGTCAGAGGCCTCAACAGTGGTCGATGCTGCCTGACGGACGTTCGAAATATTTTATTGATTGATTCTTATTAACCGACACGACTTATTTTTCATTTATAATTCATTGGTTTTAGGTTGGAATCGAACTGAGTACCCTGACACTCCTCCGGTTTTCTAGTGACTGGCAAGGTTGTCTAATATTCAGTCGTTCGTGGCTCCGATGCCAATCGTCATCAGTAATCAGGTATTACAAGAAGAATCTTTCGATACAGCTCACCGAAGACGGCGATAAAACTTACCCCCGAAACACCGTTTATTCAAATATACTTCAGACACGGGCTGTATGGACATGATATTGGTAATACTTTGCAGTTGTATGATAAGGTAAATTACATTTTCAGTTTGTAGCAGGGTGGTAAAGTTTGTGGAGAAGTGTTCATTTTTTACGATGCGACTGGACATTGAATGGAAATGACTCGAATGAATCGCAGACACAGATCAGCGATGCAGGAGACGCCTACAGAAAGGAAAGGAGGTCCCTGCGCATGAAAGCCGACGTTTCGGATGAATTCTTGGAGTAAGAATGTTGTTATGCTTTGGTTAAAGCGTCAGTGTCAAATGTATATGGGGTATTAGAGATGATCAAACAATGGCGTTTGTGGGAACATGACATCTAAGACATATTAATCATAGAATTTCAAATACCAGTCCGGTTAAGTAGCTTTAATTACGTGGGACGTAATATTTCATATTTAAAATTTGATAGGAACGAGAAGTTGTCTGAATTCCTACCATTTACGCAAGAAGAACCACCTCAAATTAAACGACACTGGATACACAAATACGATTTTATAAGCACCGTTATTTGTCTGTTGACAGATGGCTCTGAAGTATGGACAGCGAATACGAGAGACAATTGTGAAGAATGAGGAGCAGAATTTCTCTTGTTATGGTCAGAAGCTCGGAGTCTTTACGAGATGAATACAGAATTTTCAGACATGAAGAAAGAATTATGTTTTTAACGTACATTATAGATTATAATTTACAAACAAACATGAAAAGCCAGTCTTGACAAATGAGGGCTGAACCATTACCAAAATATTCGTTAATTATGAGATGCGGTCATGGAGATATCAGAACGGCCCGGTTTAATCCAAACCAGTTAACTTGAAAAATAATAATGAGAAAAGGCCCCTTAGTATACAAAATATTCGTTCGTTCATTTTGGGAGATCAGTAAGTGAACTTTAAATTAACGTTGAAAATAAGCCATTTCTAGGCTCGAGAGTCTTATCGTTAAGTTTGCACGAGGGGGGGAAGAGTCTTGTCAGTTCACGCAAATAAAGACGCAGTTTTCCATCATAATTATCGGGATTGCTTGATTTACAAATGCAACGCTTCCGGCTTATATAGAAGCGCAGAGTCCTGAGGCCGCCCGCGAGTGCCCGATGGAGGAGGACGATGCTCGACTAGGATCTGACTGAGAGTTTTTCCTTGTTGTTCCAAGGCAAACGCTGGGGTGTAATTCAAAAGTGGCACGGCCCGCCTACAGCAATCACGGAAGCCATCAGCCAAAATGATCCCCTCAAGTCACAGAGCCCATCATCCAAGGCCATCCCGACACTTCTGGGTTCAATTGGACGATGCTCGACTAGGATCTGACTGAGAGTTTTTCCTTGTTGTTCCAAGGCAAACGCTGGGGTGTAATTCAAAAGTGGCACGGCCCGCCTACAGCAATCACGGAAGCCATCAGCCAAAATGATCCCCTCAAGTCACAGAGCCCATCATCCAAGGCCATCCCGACACTTCTGGGTTCAATTCCCAAACATCCATCAGCCAAGGTTCCAGAAAAATCCCATTACCGTAACCATTTTTCCAGTTGTATTTTTAAAGCGCCATTATTACATTTTCCAACTATGCGTTTCGCACGCAGGAATGATCTAACCTGCGCTTGCGCAGAACTTCGCCCATGATTAGTTAACTTTTTGGGTTCCTTTTCGCAGAGTTGGTCCACAGTTGGTTGTGAAATAGAAGCTGCGTCCGCGGATTGTGAAGTTACAGACAAAGCGGCCACATTACCGATAGGCTTCAGGAAGTTGAATCTACAGTACGACGTTGAAGCACACATTTATACCCAGATAATTTGTGAAACGTCAGGCATTCTTCCAGGAAAAAATCAATTGTACTCAGGTGCGTGATTTGTGAAACGTCAGGAATTCTTCCAGGAAAAAATCAATTGTACTCGTTACAACGTCAAATACATTCGTTTTGTGTGAAGACACCCCCCCCCCAATCCGTTTAATACCTGATTACGTCACAATATGAAGGAAATCTCTCGATCTCAGAGCTGAGTGGCCACATCCTTATAATTAGTGACGCCCTTGGTTCAGATTCCACGTGGTCCAGGACAGGTATTCGTAGCTGACCGAGTTATTCCAGACGAATGCGAGGACAAGACCAGTTCCTCTCCAACGCCAAAGAACGACAGAGTTTGAAACTGCGTCTAACAAGGTTGAGGCTGTCGATGCTTGGATGAGCCCCAGATTTCTCTTTTGTTTCCCATTTGAATTACAGGGCTCGCATTTCACTCCTTTTCCAGGAAGGGCTTGCTGCGTGATTCATTCATAGGCGGTCGTGTAATTGATCAGGGCTGCAAATACGACGCGCGCCCTCCGCTGAACGGACTGGGAATTCTGTACTCGGCATTGCCCTTGAGGCGTGTTTGGATTATTGGCTTCAAACCAACATGTCGGACATCATGGCGCTGTCCGTCCATCCGTTTACAATTATGTTAATAAAACCGAAATTACGAACGATTCTCCTTTGCGGTCTGCAGCAGAAGTTACGAATTTGTTAAAAACATAATTTTAGAGCTTGTACTGAATGTAATTTCTCTACAAAAATGGGCCGCAAATTTGCGCACAGGGGATTTGGAAAGAAACGTTTCGTTTGCACGTGGCATTTGCTGTTTGTTTAGACGGATTTTGCCGTGGGCCCGAATGGACTGTGTCAAGGAGGGGACAGGAAAGGAGCCGGTGGTATGTCGATGTTGGCGTTCTCGGTTTTAACGACGTGTGGACTTGTGGGTAAATTCCTTCGAAACGTCAGTTTTGTTGTCATTAGTTGTAATTTGGCCGTCATGCTATCTGGGGACTAGCAAGTCATTCGGAACGATTCCACGTAAAAAAGTTCATCTCCATTTTCCTTAGAAACTCACTAAATGCTCTCTCGATCTTCCGGGTGTCTGTTCTGAATCGCACAGTGACGTTAAAGTTATCCGACAGCTTACGACAAGCGAACCGGTTCTCAGACACCCACCGCAAGTCGATTACACTTCGCGAGCCACTACGTCGACGATCGAGTTGACGGCAAGAGACGGTACATAAATGCCGTGATGCATAGCGCAAATTCGCCATCGTGGACCAAGCGCTTCGACACTAAGAAACGAGTTATTCGGTTTGGAATAAAGAACGGAAGAAGTTTTGCTGAGAATATGTCGTGTCCGTCAACTTTGTTGCCACTCCCTTGTTAAGGAGACAATAAAATGATATAAAATGTAGCTTTCTTGCATTGGTAGGAGGCGCGGTGGCCGATTCTGGCTTAAGCATATTTAAGGGCCGCGCTTTACATGAGGACGTAATATAAAGTATCTACATTATGGAAAAATTTAATATCAGTTCTTAACATCCTAACTTCTCTGCTCGTTCAGGGTTCAGAGTAAAATTATCCAAGGGTTTGTCAACTCATATATGCTACACGCCGCTCCCATCTGATTTTCAATCACGTGATCACCCTGATAAAGATATTAGGGGAGGGATGCGAATTGTGAAGATCACTATTTTCTATTCTTTCATACATCATCTTCCTTCGTATCTCTTAGGTCCGGATATTCGTAGCCCTTTGCTCTCAGACATCCCGTGTTGTTTCCTCAACGTGAGAGAGCGAGCCTCGCCCATTGGCTGCAGCATCGTAAAGATGAAAGTGCCGACCGACCTAGACGCTTCGCAGTAATGCCAGTGTCTCGGAGAGGTAGGACAAAGACCCTGATGACGGACACAGGGCTGGATTCGCAAACCTTAACTCGGCTTTGACGCTGTTGATCGCCGTGAAAAAGGCCAGAGGGAGGGTTATCTGGTACGGGGCCCAGGCGTCAGAATTGTTTAGACTTTTGGAAGCTGCTTGTCAGTCGTGCGTCGCTTCACATAGCAGCAGCAGCAGCAGCAGCAGCAGCAGCAGAGTTCATAATAACATGAAAGAAGGAGATGCTTCTTAGCACTGCGTTTCCGCTTTTCTGTGGAGTACTCGAGTATAAATAAATCAGAAAACAAAGACGAAATTTGAAATAAATTTCTGCTCCATGATGATGACCTTAATTTACTCGGCGAAAGAAATAATAATATAAGCAATTCAGAGAGGCTCCGTTACAGTTTATCTCGACTTCTTTAGCGATCTTACCCTCTGAACGTAACCAGTAAACAAATATTAACCCTCCTCCCTTTCTAAACAATGGCATTTATGCGCCAAAGCTGTTAAGACCCACCGAACACAGAAACCTACGTTTTACCATTTGAAATATTTTGTTTCCTTGTATATAACATTGGACAAAACTGAACACTTTTTGTATTACGCATTTTGATTCTTTATTCAGAATTGAAAACACAATTGGGGACGACGGTAAAAAAAATAAAAATTTCATTCGAGATGAAATAAGCAGCATCTTAGATTCCTTCTATTCTTTGTACCGTGCAGTTCAGAATCTTTATTCTTCCCATGTGCTGAGTAAAACCGTAAGGCGAAAAGGACACAAAACTATAATTTCACCCGTTATTTGGTTTGGGTGTAAAATTTAGTCTTTTATTTTAGCCAAATTGAGAAACACGGACTGAGGGACTGATGAGAATATTCGGCCTGAAGAAAGATGATGTACCAGGAATTTCATTATTCACTGTGTAAAATTAGAGTAATCAAATCGAGGGGTTTGCAATAAACAAATCATGTAGTAGGCGTTGCGGAGAAATCTGTGCTTTATCGAGTGAGTTCAAAAAGGTATGTAACTTTGTCGTATTTTGATCAGGATACCTGACACTTTGATACATTGTGTCTACAGTGCCATGAACTTGTATTATTTGATATACTCATGCCTTTAGAGAAATAATATTTGTTTAGTCGAGTTGCTGTTAGATTAACGCTGTTCCAGTCCCTAGTTTCTTGTAGCCCACGATCATCCTCTGTGATCAGAATCCGCATGCATAAATTTGTCTTCTGTGCTGCGTTACCCCCGACACATTGTACCACCTGCCTCCTGGCAGAGAGTCACGCACGCACGCACTCGCACACACACTGCAGATCACATGGTCGCTTACGTACTCGCACACACACACTGCAGATCACATGGTCGCTTTGCCGAGTGATGACGACGTAACCTGCCACAGACCTCGTGGCTGTTTTACGTCGACGCGCGAGGATTGTTCGGTGGACGAGGAAATAAACTTTGACGGAAAGGAAGCGAAGATAAACAGGTACAGAAAATCTGAGGTCATTAACTCTATCTTTCCACATAAAAGAAAGTAATTAGTACATAAACAAACGGTAGAAAATATTTGAAAATTGTTAAAACGAGTTCCAATTCATTTTACGTCTCTTTTAAACTTTAGGCTTCCTCTGCAAAATAAGGAAATGCTCTCGTAACATTCACATGATGGATTTCGAGACGTTTTAAGAATTTTTTAAAAAATTAAATCGTATTATATTTCACGGGAGGACTTCGCTTATTTCAACAAGCAAGTCCTTGTGAAGAAACGGGTAAATTGTCTGTAAGTCAACAGGCAAAGAACCTCGTCGTAATCTTCATCTTCGTAGATGATATAATTTGGTATTTTTCGCTCTTAACAGATTATTTTAGTAGATGATATAATTTCGTATTTTTCGCTCTTAACAGATTATTTTCGCGTAATTTTAATTTTGCGTGCCACGGGATATTGACAGAATACAGGATGATTACTAAAAGATTGTTTATTGCTTAGTAGTCACATATGTAATAGTCCTCGTTCTTCCTTCTCATCCACAGGCTATTGATAAACGAGTATAACATTTGGACGCCCCTAAGTGTGGCAGAACTTTATTATGGAAGAATTTTCTTTCAACGTTCTTAGTTGTATGTTCACGGAACAGATAGGAAGCGGGTTGCGTGCAAGTTTCTCAAGGGGCTGCGCCGCAGTGATCCAGGAAATGGATGATACCAAAACAGTATTTCTGTAGTTACAAAACAATTTTACTGAACTCTATGACCGGGAAAATTATGCAGAATAATTAGTGCGAAAAAATGCGGAATTATTTTTTAATATTATCACATGAATTTACTCTAAGAAGCTTACCGACCAACATCTATACCAAGACCAGAACCCAGGGTCTCCGGAGTGCTAACCACTCAACTGTTGAATTTGATGTTCTTTTTCAGACTTATATTCATGGCGTGTTTGCCCTCAGAATTAGGCCAAATACAGATGTATTAAATTGTTTCCATAGATGATTGATCAGCTCGTCCTGTTCTCCACTATTCCATCATAAGATAACAATGGATAACGATAATAATGCTAACATACATTCAATAACCGAGCTAATTCGGGACCCATTTACGAAGGGCTTAAAGAGATAAACGAATGTCATTTTGAATGTGAAAGCATTTGTTATAATACACATATAATATCGAGCTTTTCTGTTGCGTGGTTTCATAAGCACTTTTATTTGAAATAAATTGGAGTGTGTGTATAAATAATGGAAATGGTTTGCTCCGTATCTGAAAGTTGTATTATAAATGTCAAATGCGATATCACTGTGGACTCGTAGCGTTAATAAAAAAAAGGAAACTTTCAGCGAAACGGAAGGAGCAGGCTGATTATTATGCGCAGGCAAACTTTTAATCGAACGGAAATGAAAGGCATTAATATTCGATTGAAGTTTAGCGAATAAGTACCGGCTGTGTGCAAAGCTCGTTTCACAGATTTATTTTGAAATAAATCTTGTTCTTCTCTGAAATGGTGTCGGTACATGAACCTTAAAATATTAACTCCGTTACTCGCTGTGAATGTCTGTAGCTTATTTAATTTCGGGAGTCCGACGTTTAGGACGCCCCCTGAAAACGCTAGTTTCTCTGAAAGTATCCACATTCGTTG